GGAGGTGACAGACAAATGCAGACTGACTAGCGAGTGTAACGGAACATTGTGATAGTTTTCATTAATACAATAGGTACAACTCATATCCCACCAGTAGCTTAAAATATTAAGCTTCTGGAGACATCAAAGCCAAAGGGTTTTAATGAGTGATGCAGAAGACACCTAGGAAGGAATTTTTCAGAAATTTATGCAATGGGTCTTCAGGAACAATGGGCAATTGGAAACAGCATAAAAATGCTTATTTGGAAATCCAAAATGGGTGGCGTAGAGGTTGACCTTAGATAACTTCTTGATTTGAGTAAGAGGGATGGGGTAACAGCAGGCTTTGGCAGTGATGTGCAAGTGAAGAGACCAGCTTTACATCTAATTCAACAGAGATGGCAAAGCCTGGGCAGTAACACAAAGCAGGAAGAAACAAGTCAAAGCAAGAGACTAATAAACAACCTACTCTGCAACTTTCTGAATGACTGTGAAATCTAAGTTGTCTAGCTGTCAAAGACAGAAAAAGAAATTACACCGTAATTCAGATCAGTATGAGGAGGCTGGATTAGACTGTAAATTGCATGACCACATTGAAAAAAAAAAGTGAGATGCTGTAGAAGAACAAACTGGGACAGAGCCAACATCAGTTTTAGGAAGGACATCCAAGTCAAAGCTGCTGACTAAGCACAACAAACAGGGCAACAGAGGCAAAAAGAAAACTATGAGGATTATAGAGCTGGGGGTGCTCAGCTGCGCTGAGGCTGAAGCAACAGCTCTTTATCCATGAGGTGTCAGAGATGTAGACTAAGCTTTTTGGCAAAAGGCTACTTCTGTTCTCAACCTTGTGCAAAAGGCACATCAGAAATCAAAGCATCTTTATTAATGTGATTGATAGTGCAAGTAAATCCCAACTATTTTTACCTGTACAACTGTTACGGAGAAGACAAGTGGAATTTCTGGAAGAAGTTACCTATCCATCTGTGAAACAACAGCTATATGAAACAGAAATGTCACCTGAAAAACTTGAAATCTTCCAAATTCCCACATGAGGAAAAGGCAAGAGGGTATTTAGCTTTAGAATGCAGTAGACCAGCTTTTTTTTAGGAGACGTATCTGTAGAATTGTCACACAAGTAATAATGAAACTCAACAAGTGCCATCAGCATGGCATGCCAGGATACTTCTAAGCAGAGGGCAAAAACTAAGACAACCACTCCATCGACTCTGCTTTCCATAAGGCTTCATTCTATTTTGATAAACACATAGCCATGAATATCCTCGTGGGCATTTTAAAAGCTGTAATTTCGTCTCTGAGGTTTTGCAAGCTTTGTTTTGTGTGGTGTATGATATCATAAACATCCTGAATATAACTACAACTGCAATTTTGTGGGCTATATTTTCCCTCTTGGTAGCCCAAAGCCAATGTTTACAAAAGCTTTTCAGGACACTTATTTGATTTGAAGTTTTTATTATTATTATTACAAATGTATATTATTTTATTAAAAAAATTCACACTGAAGCAAAGTCAATTCCATTTCATTACAACCAAGAATATAAAATAAATGCAATGAACTCATAGTTTAGTTTTAACAGTCATTTCAAGAGTGACATCAGGACAACTTAAAAGCAGTAAACTCTCAACTCTAGAATGAGAAACAAGTATTTTGCTTCGTGGTTTTTCTAGCCCATTGGCACGGGCACTGCCAAATGTGGCCACCACAGATCTAGAGTGGCAAAGGTTTGTGGCAGAC